GCCGGGCCAAAAAGCCCCGCAGCCCGACGCCCAGCCCGGCGAGGCGGAAGCGCACGGTCGCAGAGTCGCTGTCGGACGTCGATTCGCGGCCCGCCCAGCATTCCCAGGCCAAGCGCGCGCGCACCGAGCCGCCCGCCAATGACCTAATAGTCGATATTGTTTCGCCAGCGCGGTTCGCCAAGGCCCGCGCTGCCGTGCCCACCCTTGAGCGCATGCGTTCCGCCGACTCCGACGAGACCATGCGGTGGCGCCGGAAATTCGAAGATCTCAGTGCATTGCGTGTCACACAGGCCGAGAAAACCCTGGCCGAGCTGCAAAAGTCTGCCCAGAAACAGGCCGCCAGCGCTGAGGCCGTAATCAGCACCCTGCGCAAGGACAACGAGGAGCTCAGGCGCCAGATAAAGGAGAGCGAGAAGCAGCAAGACTCTGCCGAATTGGAGACACGCAAGGCGCTGGAGAAGGACGTCAAGGTGCTGCAGCAGCAGGTCGAAACCCTGTCGCTGGACCTGGTCACCAAGGATGCGCAGATCGAGCAGCTCGAACACCACCAGCGCCTGGCCGAGACCAGCGTCGACTTCAATCTGCGCGACAGCCTGCGCATTCTGCAGATGATCTCCGGCCTGACCATCGAGGAGGTGGTGCCCGAGGACCAGGGCATGTCCTACAAGTGCTTGCAGGCCGGTCCCACCCTGACCATTGGCTACGTATTGACGGTTTTCGACGATCTGCCCGACGAATTCCAGTACACGCCGTACGAGGAGACCGCCGAGCTGGATGTGCTGCCAGACTTTTTGCGCGAAACCATGTCGTTTTCCCAGGACTCCGCCAGCCTGTTCTTCTGGCGCGTCTGCGACCACCTCAACCAGATTGCACTGCAGGAGCCTGCGACCAACGGCAACTTATAACAAGCTATCTCTCGTATTTTGTTTTTCGTTTAAATGAAGCCTACATTTCCAAAAGCTCTCACTGGATCTGGCTGATGGCGTCAATCAGATTCCGCAGCCCGCTCATCTCCACGTCCCTCTCCGGCCGCTCCTCCTTCACACCATCCACTTCCGCCTCCACCCCAGCAGCCGCCAGCTCCACGCCCTTCTTCCTCGCCTCTTCCTTCAGCCCCCGGATCTTCTCCTCCAACTCGGCGCACGTCTCCCTGACTCTCTCCGCCGCCTCCCGCCGCCTCTCAATCTGCCCTGCCACCATGACCTTCAGTGTCTCCATTGCCTGGTGCCCGCGGTACTCGTTAATCAGATGGTGCATGTTGACGAAAATGTTGTGCACGCCAGCTGACCGCTCGCCAAACTGCGACGGGTCCTTGATCAAAATATCGACCATTTCGAGGAACTCAAACAGAACGCTATGGTTCAGTTTGCGCAGCTCCACCACCCGGTCGATCGCGCCCTCCGGGTACAGCTGCGTAGCTGATTGCTCGCTGAGCGTCGGCAGCTGCTCATGCACTTTATATGTGCGACCAAACATCGAGTAGTCGCCGCTTGTGAGTGGCAGCGGCGGGTCAAGATAGGCGTTGTCGGACGGGTTGGCGAGATTTGCGTCGGTGAAGTGCTGGTAGTAATCGGGTGGCGCCGGGAACGCCGCATCGAGCTGTTGCTGCCCAGTTTGCTGCTGCTGTTGCTGCTGCGACTGTGATGTAGCCATTATGTGGTAGTTTTTTGTTAATAAGGGATCTAACGTCTACAGGGGTGTGGTGGATCTTGGAAACGCAACGTTCTGAAAAAGTTTCTATTTTTACACATCGTGTTGTTATGGCCCTTTATCACAATACCCAGATGTTGCATGTCAAGTTCATAGATTCATCCTTGATCCGAATATGACTCCAGAAGTGTGTTCCAGAGCTTGGACACACAGAGCTCTTCATAAAATCCAGCCCTCTCAGGTGCCGGATTTTGGAATCTGCCGCTCAGCGAGCCACAGATTTGGGCGACCCGCTCCAGCGACAGCTCTTTGTGCAGCAGCGCTACAGCAAACGACCAAGCTACACGCCAGTAGTCGTCCAATGGGAGTCTCAATCGGCTCTCGTTACTCCACACACGCGCAAAAAATGCCGGAAATATCGCCTTCGCCAACTCGCATGTCTCGCATAATCAGCAAATATTGCTGGTGCCTCTGCGTGACCCAACTTTTCGACTCCTCGCTGCTAACCAATGCCGCGGCAACCGCCTGCTCGCACGGCCGAATAAACACCAGGTAATGCAACAGCACATTGGCTATCCGGTGCGGCAGAGCCATCGGTACCTTTTTCTCTAGCCCCATTAGAATCACCAGTGTGTTGTCGCCGGATAACTCGCCGGGCGGACAAGTGGATATGTCCTGCACCTGGATACTGGCAAGACCAGCCGCACTTGTAGCAGCGCCGCTTACCATACACAAAGCAACTATCAGGTAGTCTACAAGCTCGCCAACCTCAGACTGCCATGCCATCATCTGTGTGTAATCCCACGCATAGGGCGTGTCGATTCCACGCTGGGTAAATGCCTGCTGCTCGATCTTGTGTGAAAAGAGAAGCTGCGACTGCCTCTCAATTTCGGCATCGCTACATCCAAGAATAGATGCCAGAGTGCTGCTACCACTGCTGTCCGAACTCACTGCATCGTTGGTGTCAAACCCGAATGCTTGGTCTGAATCAATGCCGCTCAGGATCCAGTTTTGTTTCAACTCGAGGCAATCAAGGATGCAACGGTAGATGCAGGAAATATCTGCAAGGCGAATGTGTTGCGACAGGTAGCACATCTCAGAGTACCCGCTGTCTTGCACCCACCACATACCCTTACATGTGTCATTCCATCTAGCCGCCCACACCAGGACACAAGCAACACCAGATATAACCCATACGGCGTCTGTCGTCCGGGCTGTAGATAATAGTGGAACAGGTTAAGGAGCCCCTGCGAATCTGGGTAGTCAAACTCGCCAACTACAGACTGGTGCATTAAATGAAGTGCAATATGCGTCCAGAGTATTGTCGCCTGTACACTATCGGCAATGAGCGGCTGCTCTAGGAGATTGCCTTCCTCCCACAAAAATAAACCCAGGACCCTGTACACAAAGTGGTCTGCCCACGACTCACTGTGCTCTGGTAGCGTGTACATCCACAACGCAGCATTAAGATCCTTGAATAGCGACCACATCTCATTCCAATGCTGAATATCGGCCATAGCTGAGTCTGTGCCATGCTCAAGGGACTGCTTTAATGCAGATGCTGCGTTCACTTGCTCCTCTGTCATACCTAGCATCCACTTGTATGCTGAATTCCCGCATGAAACGAGTATAATGGTGTACATCTGCACGCCGAACGGAAGCAGCTTACTTCTACTAGAATCAGACATATGCGGGTCCTTGAGACCAGCCAACAAGACCCCAGCGTCATCTCTGGCGGCTGCTACATAATCCATACGTACCCTGTCAACTGCACGCGTGAGGAACTCCCTGAGTAGACTCTGCCAAGTATCCTCGCTATTGCACATTCGCGCTGCCAGTTCCATAAACATCGAATTCCGAGCAACACTGCCCCAGCCCAGGAGATCAGCACCAAGTCTTCTTCCCAGCCCTGCTGGTGACAGTGGCAGGAGAATGGCACCTTGCGGTTCAATAAGCTCACCAATCGCAATATCTGTACCAATTGTCTGTGTTCCAGCCATTGCCGATGTGTCGCTGATCTCGAGTATCGTGCAAAAATGTGACGCTGTGAACGGCTGCTGCGCAAAGACCTTGATAAAAACTCGAGAATGTGCGGGTCCCTTATGGAACTTTGCGAAATGGCTGTTGTATGCAGACTCGATCTTGCCAATAAACCCGCAGACAGAGCACTTGCATGCTGGAAACGCTGGCAGAATTGGAATCCGCGCAGTTACCTTGCCCCTTAGTGACCCAAGCCATTTCTGAGCGGTGATCTTGTCGCCTATCAGGCACCCAACTGTCGTTAGGTAGCTGCATGCTGCCTGGATGCTCTCAACAATGGATCCTTGTTTGTGTTCAGATGTAGCCAGCTGTGCGCACATCGTGATGTGGTCTCGAAGCCTTCTATTGACTGTTGCTGCTCGACACATGCGGCAAATGAGCAGCCCAGTGGGGCGATGGATAACAAATCCGACGTTATCCAATGCTGGGCCAGTTTACAAAGCCTATCCCTGTGTAATGTAATTAGTAATTACAGTCATCATATTTCCACCTGGTATATTTATAATATATCCTACTTACCGCTTCTTCGTCGTATTGGATTGTCACCGGGGTTTGCAACTCGAAATCACGAGACTCATCGATCACCAGATCCTCCAACTCTACATTGCCCTTCTGCTTTGCAAGAATCGCTCTGGCTTCGGCGATGCATTCCGGGCATGCTTTTGCGTGGTGATACCTGAGGTTGGTCGCTGTATGCAACTTTCCACATCGGCAATACGCTCGTTTACCGTCGACTTTGGGGAACTCAAGCGTCACCTGGCCCAGGATCTTTGCGAACACCACGTTTCGGTGAACTTCGCGATGAAACCGCCGCTGTACAGGTGATGTAAATACTTCATCACACTCGGGGCAACCATACGTAGAACTCGCCATAATTACTATGAGAAGGACAATAAAGCTGGAGTGGTGAGGAAGTAGAAGGCAAACGATAGGGGAAGACGAGCAGTTTACGCTGTACCCAAGGCTTTCATGCCGGTTTGTTCTCCGTTTTTTTCTTATTTGGGGGTTGTGCCTGATAAGTAGCTGACTTCGTCTGCTGGACTCGACTTGTCAGGATGTGCAAGAACTACACCCGCTTGCTATGATTAGCATCACCTGGATCTTATCACTGCTCAGTTGGCAGTTGAATTCGGAAACTTTGGAAAATGGACTGAGTCAAGCTAGAACATCTGAGTACCGAAGATGCGGTGGCGTTCCAGATGGGGCAACTCTGCATGCGATACACACTGACTGACTGCTTGCAATGGGGCAGCAGATTCAATGTGACCAAGCGTCCAGCCACTACAACCGTATGTATTGTAAGGTAATGTGTTGATTTGATATTTGCAGTGTATATCGACCTGGTTGAGGTGCGGGCATCAACTCAAAGCGTGAGCTCATCCTGTCTGTCGGGAACTGCGTAGGAGAAGATCTCCATGACGCGCTTACAGAATAGTAGAGCCCCCTCGGACCCATACGGGGTAAGGTGGCTGCATCTCTTCACCTGAATCGATATCTGGTTGACATTTGGAAATGTAATGCTGCTGAACAGGAGGCTGCAGAGCAGGTCAGCAGCCCGACCATCAAAGATACAATCGAATCTGACACGGACGGTTGCCTGCTTAACAAAGCGCAGAACGCTTTCCTCGGCTGCCAGCTTAATGGTTTGGTGTCTGGAGGCAAATTGCGCGAAGGTCCAATTTCAGGCCAAGGAATATACTTGCATGTTTGTAGAACTCCTTAGCGGCTACGTTCCTTCAGGTCTGGGGCACCTGTAGAAGGGGCAGAAGTGATGGGCATTTCGCATACCCTAGACTGCTGACAATCATGTAGCGAGGAGGAGATTTGGCCAAGGTTTGCAGGAGACAAGATATGATCCGCGTAATGACTAACTCGGGTAGGCATTGTGCAGCTGCGAGTCTGTTCATGTTTAAGGACTTGTGTGTAAGCCGAACCTGAAAAGTACAAATACCATGTCGCTTTCTGGCCGCAAAGATGCTGTCAATTGAAAATCCTTGCGGTTCAGTGGGCAGTGTTATGGCCAGTACTCAAACCAGCTGAGACATTACTACATTGTGGCTATGTGCCTGCTACAATCGTTCCAAATATCTGGCATGCTCGCTGCCTAGTATGTGGCATCATTAGCCTCTATTATTACCATGCTTGCAGCTTCCAACTCATAAATGAAGATATACCGTATTAGTCCGCTCATCTTGTCCACTATTGCCCAGACGATGCGCTTACCGATACTCAGCAGTCATGGAATCCGAACCATGGCATGGACAGTGGTTCTGAAGCCCAGTGTGCCAAGCTCTGCAAGCCGCAATCGGTCGCATCTGGGCTCGCCGATCGTGATTGGATGTGCTGTTGGCCAGCTCCGTTGTGCCACTTTTTCTTGCGAGCCTGAAACACTCTGCCTCCCAATTTTTCTTCTCTAGCCATTTCTCTGTACTCTTTTTTATTCTACCAGCGCCCATTCGACAATCTCTGCTTGTCGTTCTCAATTATCTTCTTTCCTGCTCGCTTTAAGGTACTTGTCGCCCGGTGTTCTGTCCTTATTCTTTCAAGACAGTGCAATGTGTGGTCTTTGAGTCCAAGCAAGCCGCTATTCAGGCTTGTGAAAGCCTGGGTATCTTTGTCCTGTCGCTTTATTTTGTCCCGCGCGCACGCGTTTTCACTCGTTGCACGGCTGGTGGACGATGCGTTCTCCTGTCTGGAGATAGCCCCTTCCCTCTGCGTCGGTCGAGAGCAGCAGTGGTGACCGTGCTTTGAGGCGGGGGCTGGCGGGCACACGTGCGGGCGTAACTGGCAGTACATAGCGAAGAATGAAAGCGTGGGCAGTGTGGCTGCTCTTGAGAGCGCTAGCGCTTTTCTTTGCTCTGCTGGCCGCAGTTCGCCGGTTACGCACGCAAGCTCCTGGCGCGGATCAGCTGCAGAGGGGCGCGATTGGGGCGAGGGGGATGCGGACGCCAGTGGAGGCTCTGAAGCGTAGTTGCAGCGAGAATGTGCCTAGTGGCGGGCTACTTGGTAGAGCCTACGCAGACCCTCGGCTTGACCCTGTCCTATGCTCTACGTAGCAGCACTGGGCGTTTTTGCTCGGCCCCTTTGGCTGGTTCTGCAGACTGGATCGCGGACTGGAGCTTGTCTCGCTTTCGCCTGCTGAGAAAACCAGGGCCAACAAGAGCATCCCCCGTTCATCGCCCCCTCAGCCTGCTGCCGACTAGCCACCTCTGGCTCATTCGCGTGTTTACTCGGAGCCACCGTGCTCAACTGTCGTCCGCAAGTGCTTATTTCGAAAGGACCGCTCGTGTTTTGCAACTATTGTCTGATTTCTTCCTCTATCTCCAGCTCTCGCGTTGCTCATGCTAACACATGCTTCTAACCACTGTCATCTTACTCCCTCACACTTCTCGCTGAATTACTTCTCCCATTCACACACATACATCGGATTCTACCTTGTGTGGAACATAGACCGTCTACCAACACGTCAGATCATGTCCGCCAACCTCGACAAGTCGCTCGATGAGATCATCTCGGAGGCCCCCCGCCGCAACGGCGGTGGACGTCGCAGCAACAACAGCAGCGGCCACCAGTCGAACCGCAGCTCGCCCTACGCCCGCCGCGACGGCGGAGTCCAGAAGCGCGGACAGAAGCAGCAGCAGCAGCAACAGACACTGGCGGCGCAGACAATGATGATGAACCAGGCTGCATTCCTTGCTGCCAACACCCAGCAGCAGAGCCAGGGCGGCAAGATCCTGATTGGCAACCTGGACTATGGCGTGACCGAGGCGGACCTGCGCGAGCTGTTCACCCAGGTTGGCCCAGTCAAGCGTGCCACGCTGAATTTTGGCCCCAATGGCCGGTCGAAGGGCAGCGGCGAGGTCATCTTCCGGTCGCCGGCGCACGCGGCCCTGGCAGTCGAGCGCTACCATGGCGTGACGCTCGACGGCCGCACCATGAAGATCGAGGTCGCCTACAACCCGATGGCCGTGCCGATGATGATGCCCACCATGATGCCTGGCGCTGTGATGCAGGGATCGCCGGCTGGCGGCAAGGCGCCGAGGAGCGGTGGCAGAGCCAATGGCGCCGGACGGCAGAAGCAGCAGAACGGTCCCGCAAACGGAGGCAAGGGTCGCCGTGGCGGCCACAAGGGCGGTCGTGGCGGCGACCGCGAGAAGCGCCCAGATGCCACCAAGGAGTCGCTTGACGCCGACCTCGACACCTATATGAAGGAGACCGAGAAGCCTGCTGCTGCCGCCATCTAAACACAAAAACACAGACCAACACAATCTTCTCATTTTTCTCTCTCGCTATTTTATATTGACAACATGTTTCTTTTGACCCCCCCCCCTCCGACATTCACTTGAATATGCTAAGTATGCAGTCATGTATTAATACATGCTGATGCTCAAGTTCAACATAACCATATTTGTGATCGCTGTGTATATGGCCATCAGTGCAGTTGCTGCGCACCAGAAGCAATGGTCCTTGATGCCACCATGGAGGCTAATGTATAGGGCCTCATCACAAGCGCCAGAGAGGATCACTCGTCAGCGTTTCCGAAAATCAGCTTCATCGTGTTCAACACGTGGGGCTTTTGTTCAGGTTCCCTAGACGAATACAGCTTGTGCAAGATGCCATTGAACGGCGTATATCAATCTCTGTTGATACACCAACTTCAGAGGCTGGTCTACTTGTACAATGAAGGTAGGAGTGTACATAGTACATCTCAACCGAATCATTTTTCTGGCACAGCAGTTATTTTTGCATCGCCGGTAAGGCATGTTCGCCAGCCTCTCCTGCACCTGGGCCGCTTCATCTAAACGCTGTGTGAAGACTATAAATAGCGACAGCCGCCTCGCCCGAAGACCAGCCCTTCATTTCTCAGCGTTCAGCACAAACAGCAAACTTTCCTCCCACCGTCTACTCGTTCTTTTTGTGCAGGTACTCGTCATTGAAAATGGTGGTGTTTTCCATAGATGTATTCCCCTCCCCCTCCCCTCTTCACGTCGATGGCCCTCTCGACATTGCCAATGATATCGACGACATTGTCCATGTCAGCCCTCCTCAGCCGCCAGCCCTGGTTGCGCCTGTCAATTCTGGCCACGCCAGCCGCTTCCTTGAGCTCCTGCAAGAAATGAGGGCCTCATTCGACGGTGCCTGCAAGACCGAGCTGAGTCTCGCACAAGGCGAGCTGGTCAGTAAGCTCATTTCAGAGCAAGTGGTAACGCCGCTAACGCCGGAGAACATCAACCGCATGCAGGAGCAGATATCTCAGCATCATTTGGCTGTTGCCTCAGTAGCTGGACTGACTGAGAAAGTTGTTCCATACCTCGACGAGGCTATCGCCCTGTACACATCGGTTTTGAACGGTGAGTATCCGGTTGAGAAGGATGAGTCACAGGTCCAAGCTGCCCTGTGTGCTTTACCGCACACGAACGTGCCAGCTGTGAACACCGTGAAGAGTATCCAGCCTAGTGTAGATTTCGACCTAGTCAAGTTTGCCCACAGCCCGGATGGCTACATCAATGAGTTTATTGCTTCAGGCTTGAAGGACCCTCATGCGGACAACACTGCCAAGCACACGTTTTTGCTTTCACATTCACCTCCTCTGCTCAGGTACTTTTTGTCCAATGAGGCCAATTTTGTTGATAGCTGGGACGGCTTTACGAAAAAGGCTCGTGCTGCATTCAGGCGTGCTGCTGCAATTGGCACGATCATCAAAGAAAGGAATGAGGTCGCCGGCTTCGTCGACTGCAACAGCATCTTCAAGCTTCGCAAAATGAAGTATGGAAACGTTTGCTCCGAGGTCAACATCTTTTCGAGCATCTGCACCGTGGCCCAGCAACAAGTGATTGTTGAAGCCCTGGTGAAAGAAGGGATCTTCAACATTACCCAAGGCGGCCTGGCTAGGGCCATGTGCCGCTTGCCGACCACTTCCGCCTAACCAAACTCAGTCCTCAGATGTTTTTAAATAAATTGATGTTGCCGCACGACCTGTTGTCACGTCCAGCTTTGGTAGAAGCGCGACACTCCCTTGGCATGTGGCATTGTTGGGTATGCTCTAGCCGCATTGACCAAAAACCCGTGTCCTTATCGACTGGTCGATTCCCGGGCTAACTCTCCCGCAAGCCGCGCACCTAATCCCTCCAAGCAACATGGGGCAGAGAGTGACGGGCTTGCCAAGAGTACGGCAAAAGATCGATAAGGCTTCTGCAGCTTCCAGGCTGGGGCGATCGGCGAGTATACCCCCAGGCAAATGTGATGCCGTTATGGCGGAGATTTCCCCAGAATACAAAGCAAAATTAGTCATAAAACTCCATTGCTTCCATATGCGCCAGGTGCTCGTCATCATGTGGCCCGCTGCACCTAACGGCTACAGCCCTTAGAGCAACAGACACGCATTGTAGCAGACAGCGTCGATAAGTGACGGCAATAAAACATTTATTGCATAGATGCGGAAAGGATACTAGCTGATTTTAGATAGGCAGCACTCATCGTCGTCAGCAGGGTATCAGCAACACTATTCTTTATCTTCACCCGCTCCTTGGAAGGGATAGTGGGTTCAGACATTCTTCCAATACTTCGTGTGAACGTCCCCCAATACCGAGGATTTTTTAGAGCTCGGTTATCGAACAAGCCCATGTACAGTCCTCTTGCAAGCCTTTGCAAATACTCGATATCGGGCTGGGCTTGGTTGAACCTGCGAACAATCCTCTGCTCAAAATCCTGGACACAACAGAGATGAACTCTTTTTATATCTCCAGCACCTTCAGAATCCCAAATGTGCCATTTTATAATGGACAACTTCTTCATCTCTTCTGGCGATCGCTGATATCTCTCTCCAATACCAACCGTTGCGCAGTGACATAGTAGGTAGAATAGCGACTCCCAGTCGTCCAACTCTGTCCGCTCCACATTTGATCCAAATAGATTGCTGATGCTCCTGTAGGGGAATGTCCCCACATTCTCTGGGTTCGGCGCCTGGTGCTCACTTACATCCACTGCGCAGTCGAAATCCACCAATAGCCCACGCACTGGTCTGCCCTCCTCACGCACGACAAGGATATTGTTGTTTGAGATGTCACGGTGAAGGATGTTGCACCGTCGCAGCACTTCTGAGTGGCAGCGCATTGCATCGCCTAGCACAACAATAAGCTCATGGACAGACTCGACTGTTTCCAGCGGTTCGCCAATCGGCGACATAACCAGACGCTTGTGGACGCGGAACGGTATTGCTGTATTGTCTGGCTTGCGCAATGAGTAGAGCGGGCCCAGTGCATTTCTTGTGTTGTCCTCAAATCGGCCCCCGTCAGTATCGAACGAAACACGACCACCGGCTTCGAGCCTTGGATAGACCAGGTCCTCGACATCTGAGTTCACAAGTTCCTCTGTGATTCTGCGCATAAACATCACCTCGTCTCGTCTGTCTCTGGCAGGGTCCTCTGTGGCCTCCGGCCATGTGTCCTTCAAAGCAAACTTGGGCTTGATTTTGTCGCCAGAAGGCCTCTCGTCTGTCACCAAAAAGCACCTCGTGTGCCGACCGAAAAGGCTGTCTGCTCCTGGTAGCACCTTGTCAAAGTAGTACATTTTTGTGGCTGCAGAACACGATGACTCGTCTGCTATGTCAGGACACTCGATGGTCCCGTAGTTGTTATCCTTGTCCCAGTAGACTGTCGTGTCGAATCCCAACTGGTCCTCATCGCAGAGAGACCAGTAAACTAGCAGCTCGATGAACTGTTGGCGACCAAATGCAGTGGATATGTCAAGAGCGCTGGACGAGAAGACCACGTCATTGGAAAATAGACACACCCGCACCTCATTGTCGCAGACGGTCAAGCCAAAAGCAAAGCGCCGGTCGAACTGAGCCTTATAGATGCTGCGTGTGCTCTGCATCAGCTGCGCATATGCCTTGTCAATGGTGCGCCGAGTTTTGCCTGGTCGTGCCTCGATGACAGCGAATGCATCATCATAGCAGAAGCTGTTGAGCGGCTCGATACTGCTGCCTCTGTGTTGTGTAGTGATGCCTGCTTCGATGGTTGGAGAGCTGCCTGTATTGCTGGGATGGCACTCTTGATTCATGCATGGTAGAAGACGGCGATATGTGCGATGTTCCCCAAGCGCGTCTGCATCTAGTGCGCTAATGAAACTGTCGATCTGCTGCGCGACGAAATAAATGAATGACTGCACCGATGTGTGTATCTGTTTAGCATCGTCCGTATCGTCACCACAGGTACTGTCTGGTGGTGTAGATGGTGCTCCAATAGGCTGATGCTGTATCAACTCGGGTGCAATCCACTCCTGAAACCCTGCAAATGCATTGGCGATGGCTGCGCTGTGCTCATCCTTGCCCATGGTATATGTTGTGTCGGAGAGCAGCAGTTGTCGATAGTTGTTGTTTTGCATGGGCGCTTCCGAAGCCAACTGGGTTTTGCTGGTGTCAGCTATTGCGTATGTGCTAGCTGTGTTGAGCCGATGCTCTAGCTCAGCTGAGATGTGCTTGGAAATGTTGCTGACAAGCACTCTCCCGGCAGCACTCCGCGGTTTTGCGATGTCGAGCACTGCATCTGCATCTCTGATGAGCCGCGTCTTGACCCACATGTCTGCCTCAGTGTCTGTCTCGTCGTCGCCGTCATCACTACACCACCTGCTATCGAGTGAGGATTCTGCTGTATATGATGCCATACTCGGTGCTGAGGATACTGTGGAACTGGAAGACTCGTTCAACCTGGCAGCGGTCCCAATCTCGCTGGACTCTGGAGACCATTCTACATTGTTTCATAAGTGTTAGCTGGTCATCGTATAGTAGACAGCCATGTACTTGCAAAGACGACAGCCATGTGCTTACCTTTTGGTTGGCTTGAGGTAGGTGAGTTAATTGGCGACAGCAATTTATTGCCTGAGCTTGAAACTTGTGCATGAGCACTCTGTCTGGTGCAAATTCTGGGCTGCGTGTCAGGGCCTTTAGTTTTGGCTGCTAAATGCTTCTTTTGCGCGACTGGCTGCTAGCCTTTTTGGCAGATGATCGGGAGCTAGGTATTGAAGACTCGCCTACACTTCCATATACAGATCGATTACTATCCACCACTACCATTTCCCTTCCTACTAGTGATGCACACCATATCCTTACCTTCACTTGAAACTGTTGCCTGCGCCGTTTTTTGCTGGCGATGGCCTGTTGTTCTTCACCAGATCCTTGTCTGTGTGACGCATCTTGACGCCAGAGCTTACCAGCTGATCAGTCGTTGGAGCAGCGGGCTGAGCTCCTGTTGCTAATTGTACGACTACGATGGAAAATAGGTGGTGGTTCATTTTAATGCAATGATATCGATGTTACTCCATTTACCACAAGCATAGGCTTACCTCCAGTTAAGTCTGAAATCTGCCTCCGGGCTTGCCAGCGATGGCATGTCGATAGGGTGTGAGAGTAGTGCCTGAATACTCTGCTTTGGTGTGGGGCGCTTGCTCGTCTGTCCACAACCCTTTTTCTTGTGGCCTGGCGCTTCTTTGCGCGCATTTGGCTGCCATCCTTCCGGGAAACAATCCGAGTACGCAACACCAACGATTCGCCTATTGCGTTTTATACTGTGTGATTAGTATCTAAAAAGCAAAGTGCACATGCCATGCTAGTGACAACAATGTCTTACCATCCATATCGCTTGAAGTGTGTGCCTTTTTAGGAGGCGATGTCCTCTTCATCAGACGAATCCTCATCATCGGCAATCTTTCTCTTGGTGATAGAGCATTCTGCCTTGGAAGTCACTTCAGTAGCAGACTGAACTCTTGCTGCTGACAGTACGACTACAGTGACAAATAAATAGCAGCTCACTTTAGTATGATGTTCTTGGTATAGGTACAACTACGACTAGCATACACTTACCTCCAGTTGAAGTCTGAGCCTGCTCTGCGCTTGTCTGTGACAGAATGTCGATAGGATGCACCAGTAGTGCCTGAATACTCCGCTTGGTGTGAGCGCTTACTCGTCTGCCCACAGTCTTGTTTCTTGTGGCCTGGCGCTTCTTTGCGCGTAAATGGCTGTCAGTTTTGCGGGCAATAATCCGGGTACGCAACACCAACGAGTCATCTACAATGTCATGTATCGTGTGGTTAGTGTCTGAGGGTCAGTACACCTACTGCTCCAACAATGCGAATGTCCTACATACCTTCCGCGTCACCATATGTGCGTGTCTTTTTGGCAGGCGACGGTCATCATCATCGAGCGAACTGTCATCATCTGTGAACTTTCTCTTGGTGCTGGGGTTGAGCGTTTTGCTGGTGTCACTCACACGAGAAGTGCACACCCTCTTGGGTGGGTATATTTGCAGGTCGATGCCTGGCTGGTCGGGGTCCGAAAGCGGCCGCTTGGTGCCGATGCAGACTATGGAGCCACAAGTGTGCCCCTCGAGTACCTGCTGTTGCTGTGCGGGAATTTGCTTGCTGCTCATTACAAATGAAGAAATTAGGGAAAATGCAGAAAATGTTAAACTAGGAGGTCAAATAAGCGAGATCAAGAGGCCGTCAACAGTCTACACTTCAACTAAGCTCTTTGAGCAGGTGTGTCTACCAGTGTGGTCTTTGCTTTGGTGCTATACCATTGTTGTCATTAAGATCAAGCTGTTTATACTGCTTGAGCAAATCGAATCTGATCCAGCTAGGCATCTGTCACCCGAAATGTGGCTGATGATGAGGAATGCTGTACTATTACTAGCGAGACATTGGCTGCAGTCGACAAACTTGAGCTACGCATACTCTCTCCAACAATAGTCATTGCTCTTGACACTCAAGTCAGCAAAGGTTAAGCTAACAAGGTGAGCGAGCCACCTCTCGGCTTGAGGTATTGTGTACCATCAATGTGATATATACTACTGTAAGCTGCGATAATAGCACATGCTTTAACTATACTCTAGTCTCAGTACCTGAGTTTCAATGTAGTGTGAAAGATAATAAACATGCAATTTAATAGAAAATGATTGAAAAACTCAAGCATCTGAATCTGCCAGTGCTTTAACCACCATCATCGAGTCCCTCCAGGCTTTTTCCATGATGTCAAGCAAGTCCGAAACAATCGTGTCCTTCATGCTTATCCGCTCTGCAAATGGATCAACACCCTCAGGCTCTCCTTCAATTGTCACACAGCCTGTTCCCTTGTACCGAGGGCTGTTTAGAGTTTGGTTATTGAACAAGCCTGTGTAAGGCCTCTTGCAAGCCTTTGCGAATATTCGATATCGGGCTGGGCCTGGTTAAACCTGCGAACAATTCTCTGCTCAAAATCCTGAGCACAGCAGAGACAGGACTTTTTATAATTCCAGCACCTTCAGCATCTCTGTACGCCATTTTATAATGGTCAACTTCTTCATCTTCTCGGCGATCGCTGATATCTCTCTCCAATACCGACTGCTGCACAGACACACCATGCAAAGAAGTGACTCCCAATCGTCCAGTTCTGTCCGTTCCACTCAGATCCAAGCAGATTGCTGATGCTCCTATAGATATGAGATCCTGACTGAACAGTACGGGTTTCGCCATTATCCTTTTCCATATCCAGAGAATTGTCGAAATCTACCAATAGCCCACGCACTGGTCTGCCCTCCTCACGCACGACAAGGATATTGTTGTCTGAGATGTCGCGGTGGAGGATGTTGCACCGCTGCAGAACCTCGGTGTGGCAGCGCATCGCATCGCCTAGCACAACAATGAGCTCGTGGACAGACTCGACGGTTTCCAGCGGTTCGCCAATCGGTGACATAACCAGACGCTTGTGGACGCGGAACGGTATTGCTGTGTTGTCTGGCTTGCGCAGCGAGTAGAGGACCCAGTGCATTTCTCGTGTTGTCCTCAAATCGGCCCCCGTCAGTATCGAACGAAACGCGA